ATGAATAATAATTAAAGCAACAATGAGATGTCAAACCTATAAAACTGTCCAATGCTTGAAATAATTACCATTATTAGTAAGGCTATTAAGAAATGGAGACTCACATTCTACTGTTGGCAGTACACACTGCGACATGCTTTTTCAGAAGCATTTTTCCATTACAAATATTTTGAAAGCCCATCTTGTGACTTGGAAATTCAATTTTTTAAACATTTTCTAGGGAAATAATTACTTAATTACATGACAATTTAGCTGCATTGGTATCCCTTACAATCTACTTATGATTGCAAAAACAATGGATCAACCTAAATAATGGTACTTTTATGCAAGAAAATATTATACAGCCACTAAAACAAATATATATATTTTAATTGCTATGAAAAAATCCGATACCATAAAATTTTTAAATGTAGTCTATAAAGCAATATTTATTATAATACAATCTTATTTTAGAATAAATGATATATGAATATTTTTAAATATTAAAGTGTATGTGACAAAATACCAAAATGTTAATGAAACTTATACCTAGATAATGAGATTTTGATTGGATTTTCTCTTTGTTTATCTGCATTTTTAAATTTTCTACTGTAATCCTGGACTCATGAAATATATTAATACAAAAATTTATCTGAAGTATTGAAAGAAGTTCCTGTAGAAGAAAAATATTCTGTAAGCCCATTTGGAGAAGTAAATATTAATTCTTCTGACTAACTCCTACTGTAACTACTATAGCTTACAAATTCTAATAGCCTCTTACTGCTTTTAAAATGCATATGTGATTTCAATAGAAGCAGACACTTTCTAACATAAATACTATACTTGGAAGGCTTCCAGCTTAAAAGATCATCCAGTTAACAGACCTTAATGCAACATTTCTAAATTTCCCACATAAATATCTGCAAGTACCCTGAAAAATGCAAAAACATAATGCTACAAAAATCTGGTCTGAGAAAATTTACTTACTTAGGGAGATAGACTGAAAAATGAAATAGTAGCCCTCCGTGCCATATCTGCCTGAAAATATGTCTTTAGTTCCACCAAAGTTCAACCAAGTATCAGGAAAGCAGCACAGGGTAATGGCTGAGTAAGTACTTGCAAGTGAGGCAGTGCTTGCAAGGTTAGACCAAGTACATTTGAAGTGGACATCCTAGGTTATGGCAACAGTTATGCTATTTTTTAGAGAAGGATGGAAAGGAGAGAAAAGAAAATTCCTAAGAGCTTGAATGTTTTCTACAAGCAGAAACAAAGGGCAATTGTCTTGCTAATCAAAAGTTAAAAACCAAATATACATCTTTAAGGATTAAGAAAAAAAGCACAGATATGAGTAGCCTTAGGAATTTAAAATTGAAGGAACAATGTAGATAATTATGAGGTGGCTTCCTTTTTGGCAGTTAATTTGGATACATTAATCATAATCAACTCTCTTTAATCAGAAATTGGGATTTCCTGAGGACTTTTCATTAATTGCGAACCAGAGCGGTAGGCAAATTATTCTTCACTATAGATCAGAGTACTCCTCTGTGGGTTATGTTCATATCCCACAGAATTAAGTTCAAATAGAATTTTTACTGAATTTTGCTATCATATTACCACACATTCCCCATTATTTTATTATCGCTAATAGGAAACATATGTATCCTTAAAATCGTATACCATGAAATAACTGAGCTAATGAGTAAAAGTGAGTCTCAACAGGTACAGCTGGGAGCATGTAGGTGAATGGTTTAAGGGCTGATGTTCTATTCAGCATGGAAGTAGTTACGCCAGCTCCACATTCTCCTCTATTTTACACTGGCTTCTAATGACATTGAATCAAATTATATTTCTTTATAAGATTTAATGTTTAGCTTTTCTAATTTTACTTTTATAACAAAATTGAAGTAGGGCTGTGTGCAGTCGTTTGGATAAAATTGAAAGTGCCAACAGCTACATTCTTTAAACTAAATAGCAGCCTTTTTTGTTTAACTTTAGTAAGGGGTCCAATAGTCTTATGTGAAAATTTTCTACCTCTTTTGTTGGAATTTGACCAAAAGCTTTGAAACTGCAAGTGAAATTGCTTATTATAAATGGAGAATTCCCAGAAAGAAAAGTTTAATTATAATGCAATTATTTGAATTAGTGTGTTTGTGTTTGATCACGTATATACATTTGGAGACAATTACCAATCCTTTGGATATCTACATTTAGTCATTCATGTCTTTTCAGTTTAGGGGCAGTTTCACCAGGGTAGTGGTTTTCCGAATCACTCCTCACCTTCACTACGAACTTCTTGAATACTTGGTGTGAGGGGCAGCCTCCTTCAGGGAAAAGCACTACATTTTGGTCGGTGACCAAAATCTTTCAGGTTCTGAAGCTGCTAAGCATACATCTTTGTGCAAGTCCTGTAAACTCTCCAGGCCTCTTGTTTCTTCAGCCATAAGATTAACTAATAACAGTAATTATTAATTATGTTATTACTGTGATTATGAAAATAACAGTAGCTAACATTTATTGGGTGCCTCTCATAGGTCACGGAGCATGCTGTAAGATCTCATTCAGTTACCGCAAGGGCTCTACATCCAGTAAGAACTGTTTCCCCATTTTACTGATGAGGACACTTAAGTACAGAGAGGGTTAGAAATTTGCCCAAGTTCTCATAGCTAGTAAACAGCAGCGCCAGGAAATTAGGGTCTAAATTAGCAACAGAAGATGTTCAAAGGCCCCTTCAGTTCTAAAATTAAATCACTTGCCAAATTATAGCTCTGCATAAAGTAAGACTGGCTTAAAAAAAGCATATGAAAATTTTACCTATGAAACAAACACATTACCTATAGGTCTAAAAATTGTTCCCTGTTGGTATAACTTATATTTATAAACTTTTGTTAAAGCTACCATTTGAAAGTTCTATAATTTTTATATAAAATACCAGCGGTAATGTTACTTCTTGTTAATATTCAATTGACCATTTTCCTCTTTTATGTCATGTCTACCGTTACCATCTGTGCCTCTTTTGACTGTGCATTTGAAATACTTGACTGAAATGTAATTTCGTTATTTGTAAAGGCAGAAACAATGAAACTGTATTCATATTAATTTTAGTAGAGCTTGTACTCTAAAATGTTTAGCCAGAATAACAAAGTTCATGTCAATCCTAGTTATTAGCAGTTTATAAATCTCTTAGAATTAGAATCCATTGCAAAGCCAATTTAAGGGTTTGAGTCTCTTGGTAAGTAGGGTTGTAAATAAACTTATAGTTACAATGCCTGTTTTTATAGTTTTCTTCTCACCATGCTGGAGCTCACCCCGCCCTTCTGCTCACACTGAATTTCGGCCTGCAGTTCACCTCCTCCGTGGTGAACTCTTACATATCCCTTCTTTTATTCTTTAAGACTCAGCTTTGTATCACTTCCTTCTAGGACATCATCCTCACGCCCCACTAACACACACACACACATTCCCAGAGAAAATGGAGGCAGAGCTCTTCTATAGAGATCTCTATTGTGCAGGTACTACATTGTAGTACAATTCTCTGTTTACATGTCTTTCTTCCCTACAAGATAGCATATTATTTGTTTCAAGCAGCTTTTGTATACAGAAAAACCACAGAATCTCAAAGGCATATGACAATAACCATATTTCTCACAGATCTGTGGGTCAGCTGGTAGTTGGCTGATGGAGACTTGCTCTACTGGCCAGTTCTGCTTCAAGCCGTGGATTGCTTAGGTCTCTATGTGTATTACTTCTGAGGCCCAGTTTCTACTCATAATGATGGAAGAGAAATAAGTCAAGCCCTAGACAAGCACATTTTGCGCTACTACTTTCTTCCTTTTACCAAAAGCAAGCCACGGACAGAATCAAATTCAGAGTCAGGGAAATATATTCCACCCCTATCACCTCTAGACAAGGCTTTGAATGCACACAATCAATTCAAGGGAGTGAAAAGTTGTGACTAATAAGTCAAATACCATGGAATAAAAACCATCTCTTACTCACCTTTACTTATACATACAGTGTCTGGAATTGTACTTAACCCACAAAGAGTACTCAAGATATACCTGGTGAATGAATGTCTCTGATACTGCTAAACATGTCCCCGCATTCATCCATTTTATAAAGCATACTCCAAATCACATCAAACTGCCAAAGATTTGAAAGAGAGGATGAAGTGTTCACTTCAATTTACTGAGACATGAGACATTCAATAGGTCCCAAACAGAAATACAAAGATACAGACTTTCATACAGTGAACTACCAGGTTATAATTTGGGCAAAGGAGTATACAGTAGTAACCTTAAAATGTAACTCATTCATTTGTGTTTGTGGTATATTGTTTCCCAAAATGGCTACAACTGCTCCTTTCCTATGTGCCCCTTTGCAATGTGGCTGTGCCACTCCTCCCATCAAAGAGAGGAGTCTATTTCTACTCCCCTTGAATTTAGGATATCTTCATGATTTGTTTGACCAGTCTAATACGGTGCAAGTGACCCTGTGCAATTAGGAGCTTAAGTCTTAAAAGATCTTGCAACTCTTGCTTTTGTTCCTTCAGAATTCACCTTTCATGTAAAGAAACTCAGACGAAACAACTAAAGATGAGAGACCACACAAAAGGAGAATCGAGATGCCCTGCCAACATTCAGAACCAAGGTCCCAGATACACGCGTGAGGCCATCTTGGATTCTTTAGCCCAAGCTAAACCACCCCAGCCAACACCGGGTGAAATAGAAACAAACCATCCCCATTGGGCTCTGCCTGAATTTCTGACCCACAGAATCATAAATAATAAAATGTTTGTTGTTTTAAGCCACTAAGTTTTAGGGTGGTTTATAGCATAGCAATATATAACTAAAAGAGTGCTCAAAACTGATCTTGAAAGAGAGAACTGATGCTGTGTACTCTGAAACAGAACAACTGGAATCATTTTACAAAAAACTATTACAAAATTGCTTCATCCATAGTAAAGTACATTTTGTATTAACATATTTAAAAATAAGCACAGAAGTTTTCAGACAAAAAGAAAGCGGGGGGGGTGGTGAGCAGACCTCGAGCAGCTGCCGCAGCCGCCACAGCCGTTGCAACCGCAGCAGTTGAGTTCACAGGGCCCGGAGGTGGGAGATTTCCCATACGGTGGCTGAGATGTCGTCCACCGCGGCTTTTTACCTTCTCTCCACCCTGGGAGGGTACTTGGTGACCTCATTCTTGTTGCTCAAATACCCGACCTTGCTGCACCGGAGAAAGAAGCAGCGATTCCTCAGCAAACACATCTCCCACCACAGAGGTGCTGGAAAAAATTTGGAGAATACAATGGCAGCCTTTCAGCATGCAGTTACAATTGCAACTGATATGCTGGAATTGGACTGCCATATCACAAAAGATGAGCAAGTTGTAGCGTCCCATGATGAGAATTTAAAGAGATCAACTGGGGTCAATGTAAACATCTCTGATCTCAAGTACTGTGAACTCCCACCTTACCTTGGCAAACTGGATGTCACATTTCAAAGAGCATGCCAATGTGAAGGAAAAGATAACCGAATGCCATTACTAAAGGAAGTTTTTGGGGCTTTTCCTAACACTCCCATTAACATCGATATCAAGGTCAACAACAATGTGCTGATAAAGAAGGTTTCAGAGCTGGTAAAGCAGTACAGACGAGGACACATAATGGTGTGGGGTAACGCCAGTTATGAAATTGTAGAAAAGTGCTACAGAGAGAATTCAGATATTCCTATACTCTTCAGTCTACAACGTGTTCTGCTCATTCTTGGCCTTTTCTTCACTGGCCTCTTGCCCTTTGTGCCCATTCGAGAACAGTTTTTTGAAATTCCAATGCCTTCTATCATACTGAAGCTAAAAGAACCACATACTATGTCCAGAAGTCAAAAGTTTCTCATCTGGCTTTCTGGTATCTTACTAATGAGAAAAGGCTTGTCTGACCACCTCACTGCCAGAGGCATTCGGGTCTATATTTGGGTATTGAATGAAGAACAAGAATACAAATGAGCTTTTGATTTGGGAGCAACTGGGGTGATGACAGACTATCCAACAAAGCTTAAGGATTTTTTACATAATTTTTCAGCATAGAAAAGGAGGTACTCAGAAGCACTCAAAGATGAAAAGACCTAAAGAAAAACAAAACAAAACAAGTTTGCCATCATTTTCCTAAGCCATTTCCAGAATGGTAAAGGTTTAATCATTTAAGTTTTTATTACCTCGTTTTTAAGCTTGTCTGAGAATGTAGAAACTATATATTGTATATTTATTTTAAAGAACATTGCGTATTTTACATTTGTAAATTGTTTAGAAAGATAACTGGTTATGAGATGTAAGTAGATTATTGATCAAGAGTTCTGTATATGATGCAGTATTCTATTATAAGTAATTGTAAAATCAAAGACTATTGGATAAATTTGATATTAGCCTTCACTGGAATAAGATCAACTAATTAGTAAAGCAAAATTATTGAAGGCCACTACAGCTATGCTGAGTTGTCTCGCTATTTCTAGGTACATCTTAGTTTAAAAAGGAAAGAAAATGCAGCGGGAGGAGAGCTTAGAAATCAGTGATATAGTTATCTGACAAGCTGTGCATTATTAACAGAAGGCAGGCTCAAAAAAAAGAACTGAAACTAATACTTGATCAGAAATAAAAACTGTAGACAATTAGATTTCTTGGTTGCTGTTGTTAATGGGGACATTCTGTTTGGAATCTTTAGGTGTAACAGTGTTACCATGTCCTTTCTTTTTGGTAGACATTAAAATTGGACTTATAAGATCCAACTAGTCATATATTTGTGTTTCCTCTAAATATTGTTTCTTCTAAACAAAATTTTCCATTTTTTGGCAATGACTAACTGGGCCTACATCTAGATTTTAAATAATGTCTTGAATCCTAATCATCATATGAAACTGACGAAAGTACATATCATCGTTTCTAATACGTATGGTATAAACCACCTGTTCCTGACCTTTAAGGTTTAATTCTTCTGAATATTAAGTGGAAGCAGAATTTCTCAAAGCATTAGGCTTCACTTTCTCAGCTTTTCTGATATGACTCCATTTAAAATTTTTCTAATCTTTTTGACTAATTTTCATTATCTCTTTGGGAGGTAAATATACTCTGGAATAGTAAGGGTCTTTTACCTAGACTCCACCTCTCATTTGGAGTTCGCCGTAGCAGCTATGAAGGATGATCGTACTACCACCACCTATCCCTTGATGACATAAAGAACACTTGCTTTTTTTTTTGTTTGTTTAAACTGAAATAAAGTTTTACAAGAACAAAAAAAAAGAAAGAAAGCAGACCTCCCACTATTTCTTGTCTAAACTTGAATGTATGGATATAAATATTATTCAGTTTAACTTTGTTAGAAAAATCAGCAAGATGTCAGAGCATTTTAAACATGAATAAGTGTGATACAAATGATATGCTTGAGTATATTACAACTTTAAATGTCTCTACTTTTATCTAAATAATCTTTGTACCATTAAAAAAATCTCCACTTTCTATAAACACTTAAAAATTAAACACTTAGGTTCATGTAAAAATAGTAATCAGTAAGTAAGTAAATTAAAAAGACTTAATTCTTAGCAAATTCAACTGGCGATTTTTTAAAAAGATCCACTGATAATATGAACTTAAACTGAACTTCTGAAAGGTGTGATTTCAAATCAAGCAGAGGAGGTAACATTTTTTAGAAATACTTTTTCTCCATCTAGTGAGATGAAAATGCACTCTTATGGATGCCAAACTTCTTCAAAGCTTGTGTGATGAATATAAAAGTAAACACACACAATTCCACCTGAATATATTACAGGGCAAGTATGTCACATCCAATATTGAAGGAAACATACAGCTTCTTAGGAAATGTAAACATTTCTACTTTAGCAAGTCTCATCTGATTTATCATCATCAGTGAGTACCAGAAAAAAAAAAAAAGTTTGGAAAGATTCCAAAGATCATTAAAAGTGACAGGGAAAAAAATGCTATTAGTTTTGCATTTTGACTATAGAATTAACAACAGGAAAGATTTTAATTAAGGTTATACTCATCTTACATTATATTTTCTAATGCTTTATTGTTATGAGGAATGTGTGCTCCTGGCAACATGTTAAAGACAGTCTCTAAACTGTGATTCTTCTTCCTCAGGGCAAATGCCACTGTTCCTGATTACTATGGAGGGACCAGTGGGGCCACAGAGAAAAGAGGCATAACAAAGAGTCACTCCATATTTAGTACTCATAGAAGAATGATTTTGTGATAGTCCACCGCACCTGCTTTTTGTATCACATGTTGTGTTTTGGTCTCTCCTTGTGGGTTCTATGGACGGTTCAAAGTTTTGCTCAGAAATATCTACTCATTTTTGGATACTGTGTACAAACTAGTCTATCTGCTGCTTGTTTCCCAGCAAGCCACAGTTACAGCATGTTATTTGATTATGTTACTGAACATCACTGCATCCTTGAAATATTGTTTTGGGTTGCTATTGTTCTCCTTCAACTCACCACTTAAGAAGCATGTGACTATTTGGCCTTAATCCTTTATCAGACCCATTTCAGTCTAGAAGTACATGAGTTGTGCACCATGATAAACTTTCATTCAAGATCCTACCTTGTCATTGTTGCTGAGATAATTAATACAGTTGGATGATCTTGAATATGTTGTTTACCCTCACTAGGCTTTAGATCTCTTATTTGCTATTAAAGTTGTAATTTTTGCTGTGCCTGGTTCTCTCCACTTCTGAACACCTAGCACACCCTACCTTTCTTGCCCCTTTGTATGAAGTGTGGCCAGGTGACTGGTTTTGGCCAGCAAAATATGAATAGAAGTATATGCAATACTTTGGAGCAGAAATTTTAAGTGTCAGCATGCAATCTACCACATTTCTTTCTGAACTTGGCAATAATGAAAGCATATATTGAAACGGTGCCCCTGTCAGCCTGTAACTCTAAGTAACTAGAATGAGCAGAGCCCCTGGTCAACAAGAATGGATGTACAGCATTTATTATTTTAATCCACTGACACTTGTTTGTAATGCAGTATAATCTAGCCTATGGTGGTTTACTCATAGTGAGTACAACTTTCAAAATACTAATTAGAAAAAAATTTTCACAGAAGCAACCTCTGATCTGCTGTATTTGGGATATAAGATGTGTAATGGCATTAACAAAAGAAGTAATTTTGAGAAAAAGAAAGGAGCGCTTTTGCAGCTTGGACCCCAATCAGAAAGCTATTTTCCCAATCAAATGTTCAAAACGCCTCTCCCAAGTATAGTACAGCAAAGGACACAGCACATAAAAAGCCCACATTGGTCAGGGCAGGGAACAAGAGGATGCTATGTGAGTATATACACTAGAAGTGAGAATTCTAGCAAACTTAAAGAAGAAAGCAATCATCTCTAACAATTCACAAAAGTGATAAAGGGTGAACTTTGAGTACATCTACCGTAGAGACTGAAAATAAGAGCCCAGGTAAAAAAATGTGACATCACAGTATCGAAGGGAGTAGAACAAAACCACTTCAGAGGCTGAATGAAATCAAGAGAACAAAAAGGTATTCAAACAAGATCAGAATCAAATTTTTAGAAAATAGCTTTCATGTCTCTTAAATTAGAAATTCTATCAGAACCCTAAGATATACTAATTATAGTTGTTGTTTATAATCAGCCTTGATTCCATCACATAATACAGGATTTCTTTTGCCATCTTCAAAAAGGCACAAATTAAGGAAACCTGTAGCTACTATAAGTACAATCAGATACCTACCTTGAATGGGATCTATATACCTTCTAATGGCTAATTCAAGGTTATACTGCCCAGAGTAAGCAAACCATAAAAAAATCAGCACCAGGTACACAGTACTGCTCTATCGGTTTTATTTCTGTCTATACAGTACATGTCATGAAACCAATGGCCTCTAAAGCACTTGTCAAATATAGAGTGAGATGAATCTATATCTCACTATGAACTATTCCTGCAACAAAATATATTAGGAGTCTTACCTTACAGATTATATATTTACAATTGTTTTAGCTTGGTTTAGTGTCTAATGCCATCTTGGTTACTACATTCTGTCTGCTAGCCACAAAGCTCTGTATTAACTTGAAATGCCAGCCTTGTAATTATTAAAAAAAAAAAGTGATATATTATGACACAGAACTCCAGTGAACTCCACGTAAGAAATATGGAACTCTTATAAAGATTTTTAAAAATCAAGGACTACCCGTACTTGTCTAGAAAATTTTATTTTTCTTTTTATTTCTTTTCTTTTTATTCATAATAATTGCTACTCCTTACTGAGTGTGTTACTATGTCCATGTTCAAATAGCTAGAAAATGGCAAGGCTGAAATTTAAGGACTTTTTAACATAAAGGACTGTATTCTTTTCTTCATTCCACACTGCCTCTATTAAGCAAGGATCATTAAAAGATTGTCTTGCAATCTTACAAATATTATATTGTGTCTTATATCCCTTCCCTTATTCTCAGCCAATTCTAACTGTTGCAGTAGACTTTGTTTTTGTGTCCTTGGTTTTAGGCTTTTTACTCACAGTCTTCCATTCTTGGTTTTGTCAACAATAATTTTTTAAATATCCTTTTTAGGCCAGACATTTGTCTAACCTCTGGAGTCTCAAAGATGGTCCCTAGTCTCAATGATTTTAGAATCTGGTGAAAATATTCACTATCTGGTAAAGCTAAAATACAGGCTTCCTTCACTATTGTCGGAGTGTGTGTAATTGTTAGAAGCATCCACTTTAATTTTCATAAATCCATGAGACCACTGGAGTCACTGACAGTTGGGGGACCAGGTGAGGAAATTCACGAAAATTGGTTGAATTTGCAGGATTCCAGGGTTCCCATAAACCACGAAGAATGTGTGGTAGGGAAAGTGTAAGTAGAGAGTAGGATGTGAAATTCCACTTACAGGTAAATTTCTATGAATTTTGACTTTTAATATATAAAATTGAATATAATGAATATAATGAATACCTTTTCCATTTGTAAAGGGGAGAGTATTGGGTACTTTTCAGTGTAGCTTTCCAAGGCTCAAAAGAAAATTATAGACATATATTGTGTGTATAAAAAA